GTAAAAGTGAAGAAAGAGTTTAAGGTAATTATTTTTAAACTTGTAATTAATATGGCTTTAATATAATTAATTACAGTGAGGAATATTCATTTTGTTATAACATTTTACAATCAATTTTGATTAAAAAGATGTCACATAAAGCAGCAGAAGCTTTAAATCATGGGTTAATTTGGACACCAGATTCTGCTCATGGAATGGCCACTTGTGGCAGAAAATTAAAATATAATACAAAATATTTAATAACAGGTTTAGTTAATTTTTTGATGACATTATATATTGTATTATAATAATATAAATAATATAAAATATAATTTAATTTGAAGGTATAGTAAATGGTGAGAAGGCGTGGATATCGTTATGCAATTTTGTTGAAGAGGTAATTGAGTTCATTTGCAATGAAATTATATAAGTACTAACAATAATTGTAAGCAATATTAAAGTCCCATAATTAATGTCTAATACGATTAAAAACAGGTCTCATCGCTAACTAAAAAGCAATTAAAAGGCTTCAGAAAGTTGTATGCAATGGGATGTGAGTGCAAAGTGCGGCAGTCATCTGATTATCAACGCTTATATTCTTATAATAAATTCATTGAACGAAACGGTTATTGCAATTGGGATACAAAATGGGATAATGAAAACGACTGTCAGGGCCTACACTCGGTGTGTATTCCGGTGCACAACAACCGTCATAAGTGCCATTGGGTTCCCAGTAATGCTTACAAACATTGCATGAAAAGACGTCAACAAATTAATGATGACAATGAAATTGAACGAGAAATTGCTTTAAATGAACCGTAAATTGAATTCAATATAAAGGATTTTGATATTTATATTTATTTCAATATACAAAGGAATTCCCAAATATTGATATTGTATTAAATTAACTAAAATTCCTGCGCTTTGGTATTAGGAATAAATTGATAGCACAATGTGTGCATAATTTAACTTTATACCAATTTATTCAGTATTATTAAACTGTATTGCTTTAACCAAATCTTGTAAAATAACCACAAAGTATACAAAAAAGTTATACGAAAAATATGTAAAATATATTTATGTATTTGACATTTTCAAATAAATATTATAATAACTTTAATAATATCTATCGATTAATTTTAATAACATTCATATACAACTGTAAAATTGTAAAATAACTAAACTATAATCTCCTGAAATTAAAATTATAGAAATTTGCGCACATTTTTATTAATTAATTTTTAATTAAATATAAATCATTTTTACAAAATCTGAGTGTATGCACAACAAGAGAAATATGCATATTGATATTGATTATTATGTAATGTAGATTGATACATATTGAACTTATCTGTCACAAATCACATTCATAATACCAAAACTATTATCAGGCCATTCCAAAATAGAGAGGGGACATTTATTATGTGAACGTGGTTATTGTTTGACCTAGGTAATTTCCAAATATTACTCACTATAAACGTACTCGTTTATTTACATTGTCTTTATGAATAGTGTATGAATAATGTGCACAATTTTTAATAAGATTTCCACTATTCTGCCACTTTGGAATTCGCTGACTATTATGCTTGTTAAAATATATTCCTACAGTATCTTTTCCCATAAATATTATATTAGTAATACTTTCATAAATATATAGCACTTTTATTATATGATATTTTATTCTTTTTATAATTTTTATGTCATGTCAGTTGAGATATAAACAAAAATCAAGTCGTTGTATGAGTTTTAAAACATTTACTATACTGTATAAAGTTTGGCAAAAGAGCAACAAAAGCCAATAAATTAAATTATATAAAAAGGAAATATGATGTTGGCAAATTAGTAATCATGTGATTCTTACCATTTCTCGATGATTTGGATAAAATGTTTGCTCTATTAGTGGGAAACTATCTTTTCCTAACCGCTTCTGAATACCAATTAAGTGGGAAAACTAGAAATTAATAATTTTAAACATTACTATCACTTAAAACATGTTTGACAACTTAATTTTGTCATTATATAATTCTAAGTCAGAAACAAAGAATTTTGACAAAAATACTTAACATTTTTTAAAACTAATATATTTAATACTTACAACCCATGGCCTGTCCTGAAAATTGTATGCTTTAAGTGTAGTATAAGAATGTAATTAAAAAATTTTTAAAATAATTATAATTTTCAAACAATAAATGCTAACCTTGATGACAAGTGGGAAGAGTTTTGACATTTCCAAAGGCCAGACCTAATAAGATATCTCTATAATCTTCGCGTACATCACGAATGTGTTGACGGATTAGTACAAAGTCTGGTCGAAATGATCTATCAATGAATTTAAAAGTTATTAATTAAAACTTGAAATGAATGAATTGATTGATCCGTGTATACCTCGCAACCTTTGACCCGCTTCTGTCAAAACCAATAATACTGACAACACTTCCAGATTCGGAACTCGAGGCTAACGTGAGGTCACGAAACTCGGCCTGTATTTAGCAATTGTTAGACATTTGTCCCGAACATTGAAATTGAATACCTGTTCCACTCTTATATCCCATTCTCCTTGTAATCGCTTCCCTCGGAAGTACTTCGACCTAAAAGTAATTGCCATTAATTGCAAACAAAAGGCATATATAATGGCAAAACAAACCAATCTGTTTGGTGATCGTCGATCACTAATAAAATCTTTTGTCTGTCTTTATTAGTGGCGGTTCTGGCGATCTGTTGGACCGTTGAAGTGACGCTTCCCGTCAATGATGTGGCGCGAGATAAGAAGGACGAGACGCCTGAATGATGTGGAGATGTCGGGGCACTCGTCGTATTACTACCCCTGAAGTTAAGCGTCAAATCCGATGATTGCGACACCGAATGTGTTGGCACTGGATTTGAATCGGTGTTCGTTTGTACTCCAGAGGATTGTCTTTCGCCTTCCTATACATTTGCAAAGTTAGCCAATGTTTTAGAAAATTGTAATTTGTTTCATAAGAATGATTAAAGCAATGATTGTCTACCAATTCATCGTCAAAGCCTTCTCCCGATAGATCTCCGGAAGAGAATCGCCTCTTAAGGAAATTAGTAGTGGAGGCGAAGCTCTGCCGAAACGTTGAGAAAGAAATTTTGGCGGTAAGTGTTGACGACTTTTTTGAAAAATTTCAAACACTATTACTTCTAATCGCTTATATATTGGTGTAAATTATGCTTTTAAATGTAAGTTAATTATTAAATTATGTCAAATGTATTCTCCAATTGTTATAGAAATACAATATTTAGTGAAAAAGAGACATTTTGTTTGTTAAGTGTATGCTATGAATGGCAAAGCATTTATTGATTTGTTATGAAGACTTGCGTAATGCTATCTCTTCGGCCAATAATGTCTGAGATTTACTTCAGATAATTCACGTATTTTGCCAATCGATGATATTTTGTGGTTTTCGTGTAATACATACATAAAATACGATGTCATTCCAAGTTAATTTACCCTTGGTTAAGTTACACCAAACAATTTTAGCAAAAAAACTCTCTTGGTCAAATTAAACGTATCTAAATAAATTAGCAATTACAGTACAATAAATAAGTTTTATAATGTTATGTGACATAACTCATGTCATTTTCTATACATTTGTAAATAAGTGAATGCTATTAATACCTAATTTTTATTTTAAAAATATTTTATTACATTTAAAATGTTTGTGTTAAATTTTGTATAATTGTTAAAAGTTAGAATATTTATATAAATTTGTAAAAATTTGTAAAAATTGTACATTTTATTTAAAATTTTTAAATCACCAAAATAAAAGGCATTAACAATTGGAAACATGTTTATTAAAATTTTGGGACAAACTTTTCATAAGTTATGAATCATAACTAAAAATTTAAGTGAAACAAAATTAGTATACAGTATCTTAGAAATGCCATTATCATTAATTAATACATTAATACAATTTCTTTATAATTTACGCTAAACCACAATAAGCCTTTTATATGGTCCATATCTATTCACAAATGTAAAGATTAAACAAACAAACAAAAACTTTACATTCAATTAACATGTTATAGTCAAGTGATACTAATCCTTAATCTAATACATGTGTTATTATCAGTGAGAGAATCGTGAATAATAACAATTGTAAAGTCAATGATAACAAAATAAATGTTAGCAAAAATCTAAAATCTAAAACTATTGGTTAAAAGTTATATTCTCTCAGGGATTAAAAAAAGCTTATAATTGTCTGCAAACTCATTGTGAATGATAAGTTGGGGTCAGTTTAGGTCCAATCAAACGACAATTGATTTCATTAAACAAAAAAGTTTCAATAAATTGATCACTGAATTCAAACTTCATTCAGTATTCAAACTGTTAGCAAACATCTCATTCACAACAATGACTACACCAGAAGTATCGCAAAGACTTCAGGATTTGGTGAATACGACTGGATATGAGATCACACAAAGATGTGGTCAAAGATTTTATGGTCCGCCACCGAACTGGTCCGACACAGATCGGCCTGAGAGGGGGTGTGAAGTATTTGTGGGCCGACTTCCACGCGATCTATTTGAAGACGAATTGGTTCCAGTCATGTCTTCGGTGGCGCCGATATATCAACTCAGGCTTATAATGGACTTCAGCGGAACCAATAAAGGGTTTGCATTCGTCACATACACCCGAAGATGGGCTGCCATTCAAGCCATCCGACAGCTCAACAACTATGAGATTCGTCCCAATCATCGAATTGGTGTCACACAAAGTCTCGATAATTGTCGCCTATTTTTGGGTAATCTTCCACTCAATAAGACTCGTCAAGAAGTAGAGGAGGAAATATCGTCAAAGACCAAAGGCGTGGTCAATGTTATCGTATATTACAATTCATACGAGTCGATCCCCAATGGATCTAATGGTTGTGATGGACAGCCAAAGACACGTGGTTTTGCTTTCGTTGAGTACGAGTCTCATCGGTATGTATTGAACAAAGTATAAAATACTTAAAATAAATGGATTGTATGTTCCGCAGAGCCGCAGCAATGGCCAGGAAGTGTCTATTGCCAGGTATTTCTTCTTAATATGCATTCATTATTGACATACAGTATAATAACGTATATATTTAGGCTCGAAATCGGGAAAAGTTTCACTATTTGGAGTACAAGTGACACTCGATTGGGCTATACCTGAACAGAGAGCCGACAAACAGCTAATGGATAGAACCGAGTGTAGGCCCTGACAGTCGTTTTCATTATCCCATTTTGTATCCCAATTGCAATAACCGTTTCGTTCAATGAATTTATTATAAGAATATAAGCGTTGATAATCAGATGACTGCCGCACTTTGCACTCACATCCCATTGCATACAACTTTCTGAAGCCTTTTAATTGCTTTTTAGTTAGCGATGAGACCTGTTTTTAATCGTATTAGACATTAATTATGGGACTTTAATATTGCTTACAATTATTGTTAGTACTTATATAATTTCATTACAAATGAACTCAATTACCTCTTCAACAAAATTGCATAACGATATCCACGCCTTCTCACCATTTACTATACCTTCAAATTAAATTATATTTTATATTATTTATATTATTATAATACAATATATAATGTCATCAAAAAATTAACTAAACCTGTTATTAAATATTTTGTATTATATTTTAATTTTCTGCCACAAGTGGCCATTCCATGAGCAGAATCTGGTGTCCAAATTAACCCATGATTTAAAGCTTCTGCTGCTTTATGTGACATCTTTTTAATCAAAATTGATTGTAAAATGTTATAACAAAATGAATATTCCTCACTGTAATTAATTATATTAAAGCCATATTAATTACAAGTTTAAAAATAATTACCTTAAACTCTTTCTTCACTTTTACATGATATGAAAGGACCCGTCCGTCTAATTTCTTCAAACTTGATAACTTTGCCAATCGTTTCACTTGAACTATAGCTACTGTTTGTTTAAATTAAATGTTTATTACTTTATTTTACTTTAACTTAAAAATTTTAAGTATACATGTTTTATCTTTTTTCCTTTAATATAATATAAGTAATATTCGCAAACTAGACATATAAAACTTTACAGTATAATAAAGTATAGTTGTGCTGACAATTGTTTCGACATTAAAATCAGAATCAAGATATTTATAATTCTAGAAATGTATCACGTGATACACTTTTATTCACAACGACTATGTATACCATAATCTATCCATTTCTAGATTAAAGAATATAAATGTAATTCAATGTTAATGAGACGCTAGGAATATATATTGACTCCCTAATACCGGGGGCCCATTCAATAATGCTATTATTTAAATAGTTTACGTGCTTTTATCACAGAATGGAATCACGCAAAGAATCAGCGAATAGTGTATTTAAAATGATTATTTTAATGTGCAAATACAGTATACAGTATATGAATAATATTAAAAACTCAACTGAAATCGGCTGAACAAAAGTGATCCTGAGGATGTGATAATATACAGGAGCATCCATTACTCTCTATTATTAATGTTGCGATGAGTAGTAATTTTATACTAATTAAAAAATAATATTAAAAACTCAACTGAAATCGGCTGAACAAAAGTGATCCTGAGGATGTGATAATATACAGGAGCATCCATTACTCTCTATTATTAATGTTGCGATGAGTAGTAATTTTATACTAATTAAACTTAATTTCAAAGAATCGTATATTTTTGCCATTTTTGCCATCTTTAATGTACTATAAATTTAGAAAAGAAAAAATAATTTCAATTATAACTAATTTAACATAAAAATAATGGCACATCTTGGTTTATTATAAAAATAATGATTATTTATGCATATTATCATGATCATTTTTACTTGTGATTATTTGTTAACAATGTTTTAATATTTACAGTTAGTTTTTTAATTTAGTTAGAATTACAAAATAACAAGAATTGAAAAATAATAATTAATAAAAATAAACCATCTATAAATGGAAAATATAAATAACATTGTTCATTATAATTTATAAACAATTTTTACTAGATTTGAGCATGGTAATTGAGGTATAGAATTGCGCTTTTTTATTAGTTCAGAATTGAGAAATTCCTAATCCTTTTGTAAATTTCTATTGGATTGTATTTTTTATCGCAAAATTAGTTATTGATATTATAATTTGATCGAATTATTTGTAACTCTAAACTATTGAACTTTATACATGGTATTTATTTAATACAATTGGTTTGGTCATTTTATACTGAATTTAATTAGAAATCTTTCATATTTATTAGTGTTTATTCTTTATATAATATTATTATATTATTGCAAATTCAAAAAATGAATTAATGAAAGCATTTGATTGGTCCGATAACTCCCACTCCACATACAGAATATGTAGTTTTTTCTCATAATTTTGAATTTTATGATAAAATTAAGGCAACTTTAAATTAAGCTATCGTTGAAA